TAGTTAATGATGGAAAATGAAGAAAATAAGTGGGAATTTACTAACCCAAGTGGTCTTGAAGAACGGGGGCTTCAATGGACTCCTAAGTGCTTGGGGAATAAGAAAGCTCGTGAGTTTTTGAATGAGTCCTGTAGCTACTGTTTCTGAAGTTTTCAAAATTTAACTAGGCGAAATTTGCTCTATGCGATCGCGGAAGAGGGAATGCGATCGCATAGAGTAAATGGGGCTGGGCTATGCGATCGCAGACAAGGCAATGCGATTGCATAGAGTAAAATAGTGAAGGCTGGGCTAACACACTATGCGATCGCGGGAGGCACTATGCGATCGCATAGAACAAACTGAACCCCTGAAAATTTACACTATGCGATCGCGGATATAGCTATGCGATCACTTAGAACAAAGAACTGGGCAACAACAGACAACAGATTCTGCAACATCTTTAAGGCTAAAACCACTCCGAAACACTTCCGAAACACTTCCGAGCCCTCGGGGATCCTAACCAAACACACACACTAACTCAACAATATCCTACAAACTTAACCATGCGATTAAATCGCCGAAATAACATCATTAACGAGGAATCAAACCTCAAAATCATCACTTTTTCATCAAACTTCATAAACTTTCAAACTTAGAGTTTTAGGTCCGAAACACGTCAAATGACGTTCGATTTCAACCAAATTTCATAGAAAGCGCTTAAACCACATATAAGACATGTATCGGGCGCCGGAACCAAAATACGGGCCCGATACCAATGCTTTCTAATTAATTTTCATTTCAAATTTCCAAATAAATTTCAGAAAAACAATTTCTTTTAGAAATTCATTTCTCAGGCTCGGGACCTCGGATTACGATTCCGGGCATACGCCCGAGTCCCATATTTTTCTACGGACCCTCCGGGACCGCCAAATCACGGGTCCGGGTCCGTTTACCTAAAATGTTGACCAAAGCCAACTTTAACCATTTTAAAGCCACAATTTACCAAATTTCACATAATTTAACACATAAGCTTTTCCGGCTACGCGTCCGGACTGCGCACACAAATCGAGGCAGCTAAAGGTAGGGTTTTCAAGGCCTCAGAAGCATGGAAAAAGGGATAAAACCGGTGATGACCCTTTGGGTCGTCACAGGAACAACGTAACCCCAAAAGTTACAGCTCATGAAAGGCCACATTGCCAGCTTGCCTTGACATCACGACCACGACGAACTGAATCCGCTCATCAGGACTACCTGAGGCCGGCCTCAATAAGCGGAGGGACTAACTGTATGGGTCGAAATCTGCTAGATAGTTTTTGAAATAAAATTACCTTGAAGGAAGAATTCTCGAGTCGTCATTAGTCGAGGTGGGCCAGAAAGCAGAAATACTCGAAGCCAAAGAGTCAACGGGAGTCGTGGTCGAGATGTCGATAATGGCCGAGGTCGAACATTGCTGGTGAAGCTGTAACAACTAGTTTTCGAAATAAGATATTAAAGGGAACATTCTAGGGAATCTCTGCATTTTATACTATTGGAGTTTGTAATATATATATATATATATATATATATATATATATATATATATATAAAGAGGGAGAGATAGAGGATTGCGTGTGCTATAGCCCACGCCTTCCTAGTGGG